AATTAAAACGCGTTATACAAATTTTGCGTTTATCGCTATTCAGAAATAAATTTTTTACAATATTGTGTATGTAAATGACATTTACCTACACAGGAATTTATATTTTAGATTGACTATTTTGACATACTTTGGCTGCATTTATTTATACCTTACTATAACTGACAAAATAATCAGCATGTATAATTTCTGTTGTTATAATATAATATATTGGAAATATAAAAGTATTTAGATAGCTAATATACTATATATAGAGTATAGAGATATTGAGGTATAGAATGAATAATTTATACCTATTATAATATTACTGTTATTAAATAGTACATAATACATTCACAAATAACAAAATAAATACCTATGTCTAATATATGTCTAATACGTAATATATTCATGAATACACTTTTAAAAAAAAAATATACATTTTATATGTTATTTATTATTCCCTCAACAATATATCTTCTAATAAATCATTAGAATTAGAATTTCTCAAGTAGGACAATAAAAATTTTAAGCCAGAAAAATTACGTTCGACACTAACCTAAAAGACAAAAAATAAAAATACTCTAGCCAAAAAAAGATAATTATAAATAATAATTTAAAATAAAATTTTTTTTTCGTGCTCTAATATAAATAAATTGTAAATTATAAAATTTGCTTAACACAGACACCTCAACAATTCTGAGCAAACTGAACACAATAGTTGGGTAGTTTAAATTTCGACCGTAGTACAGTATTTAATATTGTCAGAGCATCACTAATTGTTATTATTATAAGTAATCGACAATAAAATTATCCTATTTATATTAAAATTACATCATCTAATGCAGTAATAATCCGAATACGGAATAAAATATTAGTTCTTGGTTGAATAAAAATAAATCACGTAAAATGAATGTTTTCACAAAACCAGTATTATATTTTATATTTATAACTATTAAATAATTAAATAATAATTATTTCGTTTAATGATATTCTATATATAATATTTTTCGTTATGTTTTGTTTAATGATATATAATATATTTTTTTATTTATTATATTTAAAATGTGTCAACATATTACATGTTATTACAAGTTTATTAATAATATATTTTATTAACCGTTATAATAATATATTGATTTATGTTATTTAATTATTAATGTTTATGGTTTTCCGTTATAATTATGTTAACAAATTTCAATCGTTTTTTGTCAAATATAACGTTATTATAACGTTTTTATGCACCATATCCTTTATTTAAAGGTCATGATTTATACATTTTTATTTTGATATTGTTATTATTGGATTTTTATTATAATCTGTATATGAACGATTAAATTATGATCTTATCATCAATTTTTTTTTGTATATATTATATATTCGTTGTACAGGGGCGTGTCTAAAATTTATTTTTGGAGGTTCAATGTTTTTACTAACACGTTTTTCAAGTGTATTTATTTTACTAGATATTAATTTGGCATTTATACAATATTCATAGGTCTGATCGTGATGTCATATTATTTTATAGTAATATTAGAAAAATAATAATAATTTATGATACTTTATAATACATTTTGAATAATTTGTCGTTATATTATTAGATATTAGAAAACATAAAAAAAATGTATAGAACGATTCCTTGTCTTCAAGGTATTAAAGCAAACCTTCTCACCACTTTATTAGGATCAACGTTAATTGGTAAATATATTTATGGGTATACTCACTACTAAAATGCGTATATTCAACTTAAAATGTTTTTCTCGCTAGTCATTACGCTACAAAAAAATAATCCCTTAGACTATGGTTATAACTATTAACTTCTAATGTATTACAATAAAATTGAACGACTGATAATGTTAAGTATCAATGTCCACTCATTTGTCAAACATTGTTATCTTATATTACATATTTTTGTTTCAACATTATGTCATCACAATATTTCCAATTCAAAACAATAAACGATTTTAAAATTAAATTTTTTTGAGTATTATGACTATTCATAGTTTTGTAATAAATAAATAAATAAATAAGAAAACCTCAACCTATATCCATTATTACAGTAACAAACATTTATAAATAAAAATTCATAAGTAGGGCTGGGATCTTTTTGCATTTTTTGACAATTTTAGTGCATTTTCTTAGGTTCTTAGGTTTTAGAACATTTTTCACAATTTGTTCATAAAATGAACGAAAATTGTTATGATGAAGAGACTTTCGACAAACTACCGATCGCAACGGTAGGAATAATAAATTATGTAGCACGATAAATTATCATCAATGGCAAATATTTTATCATAGCTAGGTCTTCTTGCTAATGATTCAGAAAAAATAGAAAAACATTATAATATTATAATTAAATTATAATGAATAAATTTAAATGTATTTTTATAATGCATTTTTTAAGTTTTTAAGTCATTTTTTGAGATTTTTTAGTGCATTAAAATCCCAGCCCTATTAATAAGCAATTAAATTGGCTTGTGACTGATAAACACTTAATAGCGTTTATGGTTACAAAAACACAACACTGCAATAAATTCATATGCCGCGTGACTCATATTTCATATTATGTATTTTAATAACATATATTTTTCAAAATGTTATTTAATAAATTTATTTTAAAATACATTAAATACAGCGTATACTGATAAATAAGATAAACAATTAATTAAAACATCGTAACACATTTTTTCTATGAACTATAAAATAAGTTTTATTTGGTTTTCGAGTTATTTTAGGAGCGTATACCCGTAAAATGATATTTTACGTTGGGTATACGCCGAAAATCGAAAATCTGCTGACGTATACCCGCGTATCCATACCAATATACCACTAGAGCTAACCCAATTAACCGATCTTCGCTAGTTGATGTGTTGCGTAAATATGTTGTGAGACGCTGTAAAGTAGAAAATGTCCTTTCTGTAGTTGCCGCAGATACGGGTAAAGTTGCTAATATTTCTAATAATTTTCTTATATTTGGGAAAAATCTTTCATTACCTTTTAATAAAAACTCTACTGCATTAAATAAACATTTCCGATTTCACGGACCATTGTCGACGATCAATCTTATCTATTCTATAGTATTAGATAGATCGATAATGAATTATATAAATAATTCTGGTCTCTAGTAAATGTTTTTAATATAAAATTTAAATTTAATTGTATACAAATATTAAGTAATACTTTTTTACTAAATTAGTTGAAATTTCGTGGTTGGGTGGAGGGGTGAACACCTCCCCAGACACGCCTCTGTCGTCATATATTATAATATGCTATATTAATATGTTATTTGTGTTCTGTAAATGTGAGGTCTGATGAATATATTTAGTCACGTATAACGTCGTTTCATGACAAAAAATATGTATTCATTTTCTTACTATACATCATTATTTATAAGCATCATACACGAGCCTAGCCAAAAGTCAGTCAATTTTATGTTTTTTGCGTTTGAACCTATATTAAAAATTCTTAAATCCGACTTCATAACGAAGAAGTAATAGTATAATAATATAATATTTGTATATATTAAGAAGTCTGTAAATAGACAGTTTTTTTTTTTACAAAGTTTAATACAATGAAAATCAGAAAATGAAAGGCTGAGCTAGTTAACTATTTCATTTTAATTCGTTAATTTAAGTTTATTTTGAAAAATATAAGCTCAGATAATAAAAAGATACTTTTTTAAACAATGTTTTTTTATGTTAAGTATTAAATAGACAAAAAAGTAAATTAACTTAGTTAAAAATCAGTTTGCCTTTTTATTTTTTAACTGAATATTTACAATCCATATCAAAGCATATTAAGAAAAAAGTATATATACACAAAAACAGAATGATAGAAAAAAATAAACATATATATGTTATAGTAATTGAAAGAAAACAAATACAATAAAGGAGGTATTCTAACAAAATCCCATTATTTTGTTCAAAAAAAAAAAATAAAATAAATTTCATTTCAGTCATTAAGGTCTGTTATAACGTTTATTAAATTCATAGGTGTATTATTATTTTGATCATTTAACTATTTAAATTATAAAATGTTTATGAAATGGTATGTACATTAGAGTAATAACAATAATAATCACCAAAAATATAACCAAGTAAATATAATCTGTTACTAATAGAAACTATTTAAACAAAGAAAAAAATACTTAATATTTGATAGTGGAGATTAAATTCACGTATGAATTATCTTATAGCAACTTATAAGGGTTAGAAAAAATAAATTAAAAACACTCTTCAAGACTCTGAATCTCGAAGAATTTATTGATATAACTGACATATTCTTATGCTTGCAATATTATTTTATTGGTATGTCATATATTGTGTGTGGAAGTTAAGTGGTATGATAAGTATTATTTACTATGCGAAAAATATAAAAAATTTGTGCAACATTGTTCGTAAGCAACAATCTCTATACATTGCCAATATTAAACTTTTTAAAATAAGTTTGAAGAGTCGTGTTCAACCTTTTTTCATTGGTTTATCATATTATTATGTTAATTCTTGATGTATAATGTTTCAGTTGACATTTTCTTAATGGTTTTTTTTTTTTAGTATAAAAATTAGTCATATTTTAAAAACCGAAACAATTAGTGAAACGAAAGAATTTTTCGGGACTCGGTAACCGACTTTTAAAATACGGAACTTTTCCGTATAAAACAGGACGTCTAAACGTCCTTTATATTTCATACACTCGTAAAATCTGGTTTTATTATAGTATTATATTGAATATAAGAATACATGTTATTATAATACACATAGTCAAGAGACATTATTTTTAATATCATATTTTTTTAAATGCATAAAACATTATTATTTTTAATACAAAAAATGTCTTGAATAATAATAGAGAATTAATTATTGTACAAAAACTAGTATGATTAGATAATTTTCAATACCACCAGTACCTAATAAATTTATATATTCATATTATTATAATAACTTTCAATAATTGTACATGTATAATGTATGTTTATTAAAATATATTTAACTAATGAAAAAAAAAAAAATGCAAATTTATAAAATGAGTATTTATAACTACATATAATTTATACCATATTTAATTGAACTTATTTAACATAGTTAATGGTTCATAATTACTAAATTATATAACTATTGGGTTTGTATATTATAATATTCATAAATAATTTTTATTTTTGTTTGATAGTTGAGATTGGAGAACTCTAGTTCTTGATTTAACTAAATCCCAGTCCAAATAACCACCAATTAATAATCTAGAGCCTTGATATCCTTTTCTTCCGTGTAATATTCGATGGTTGTCAAAAGTTAAAATGTCCCCTTGAAATAAATTAAAACGTTTTAAATATATAATAAATGTAAGAAAGGTAATCATTTTAAAGTTAAACATTTTTTAAATATAATCAACATTAAATATATACTTTTTTTATTATTGTTTTAATTTTTAAATTTTATTGATTAAATGACAGCTTGCATATTTTTATCTCATCCTATAAAATATTTTTCTGAGAACTTTCATGAATAAAAATATAAGTTCAAACAAGCAGTCAATTAGTTATAACTTAGTATATATTTAAACTTTTAATGATCGAAGGGAAGTATATAGAGGTACCTCATAAAATTTTTATCCACTAAACTTTAAATATAGTTTAAGTTGAATATAATTCTCAGAAAATTATTCTATTTCAGAGTATGCAACTTAAAATGTATTCTTTCTTTCAAAAAAATAAAAATTTAAGTTATCATAGTTCTTAATACAAATATAATTATTATTAAAAACTATGTGTTGTCATTGTTTAAATTTAAGAGTTGCATTCTGTATAGTATAAATAGATATTGTACATTTTTTATTTACGTCATTAATGAAGTAAAAGTCAGTTAAATATCAAAACAACAAATATCTTAACAATCAAACAAGGATTATTGAAAGCTTGTTGCAAAAACCAGGTAAGTCAAAAATGCACTTTTTCATGGAATAAAATAAATAGAAAAACTCCCTAGAAGTGAGTGCATCAACCATATTAGTTCGTTTTGTATAATTAAATTTTTTTTATTTTTGCTGCTAATATTAGTCAAACTTTAACATAATAAGTAAATGTAAGTAAAATCACTAAGTATATATTGTTTTATTTAAAATATTATAGTAAAACAACTTTAATTATGTGATAAGATATATGAGTAAGTCCTTATCAGGTTAAGTTCATTAAATTTTTATAAAATGTACATCGAGTATAGATGAATCAACAGTACAGATACAGTTTTAGTATTTTTCATATAATTCAGAGTTTTAAAAAAGTATAATTTTCAAAAACAATTTCAAACCATGCATTTTTTTGATAACCTTGAACATTTTTAAAATGTCTGGTTTTTGCAGAAAGCCTTTCAATTTTATAAACATATTTTAATATTTGTGATATTTCACACAAATTGTGACAATATGTCAATATTATGCGTTGGTTAAATAAAACACACAGATATTATTAAAGTTATATACCAGGTTTCATTTTAAAAGTGCAGATGATTTTTTCGTTGTACGCAATCTTTACGAATTTTTCGAATGCTTCATACCAAATATGTACTTTATCTATTGATACAGGAAATTTTGAATCTCTGTGATGATCACTAAAATGAATTCTCTTGATATTCTTATAATTGTCTTCGCTATATAAAAGTAAACATAAAATAAATGATTAATTAATATCTATTGTAACCAAAATATTCAGAACACTCAAAATAGGTACCTAAATAATAAACATATACAGTTATTTACAATAAATATTAAATTATGTAATGTACATCATGGAGTTAGTATGTGTGTTTCAATTATTATTATTAAAAGTGCTGAACGCTGTTAATAAATTTAAGGAGTATTGTTTAAGTAATGTTAGTTACGGGATGTGTATATTTGTTTTGATTAAACATCAAGTATACATTCTATCACACTGAATAATTTTGTTATGTAATTGAGAACAGAAAAAAAGACGGTTAAGTATAATTTTTAAAATTAAGATCATTGAAACGCAGTGACGTATACTGTTTAATGAGAAAAAATATAAGCTTACAAGTTGGCTATATAAATAGTTATTAATATAAACTGGGAAATGACTCCACAGTGTAATTGTACGTTTTAAGTGAATTTCTTTCTTGAGTAGGTCATTGTAATGGATTTATAAAATTTAACTTCAATCATAAACAAAATGATACGTCAACATACTGTAGAACGTTGAGAATATATTTGTGTATAAATAAATTATTATAAATCTAAATATTTCTAAACAATTTCACCGTGCCTAATAAATTATAATACATTAAAATACACATAATTTTTAAAAGTTTCAAGACCATACAAATAATATTTTTAAATTTCAAAGAAAAAACTAAAATTAATTTAAGTATCAAATTTTATTTGTGTAACTTTAAATGTGTATAATAAATTGTGCATGATATGTATTTAAATATTTTTGATTTACTAATATACATTCAAATGCTTATAAACAATTTATATACAATGTACTGAAATATTTGATAATTGTTATTATGTCTAGGCACTACTAATATGTTAATATGAATATTTTTTTTTAAATTCTAAGTCTATACGGTGATTTATTTTTTATTTATAACAAAATAACAAAATTAATCCTATTAAAATTGTTTTTAATAAAAAATATGTTTTCCTTGATTATTTTGAAATGAATTTAACATTTTTTACTTTTGATTTCTTAGAAAAAATCCAATTTTATAACCATACACTACTTTTCTAAGTCAGTGATTTTTAACATAAGTATTCGGTGACTTGATCTTAGATATGCTTCAAAATTCTTAAAAATATAAATTATTCATTCATGCATTGTAGGGTGTCCTAGAATTTTTATAAAACATTTTCAAGTGTCGTGAACAAAAAAAGTTCGAAAACCATATTGCAGTTTAAGTTGAAGATTGAAGCATTTTTAGTGTTTATTATCCAATTCTTAAGTCAACGAGAGGTACGAAAAAAAAAAAAAAAAAAAAAAAAATCACACAATTAATTTTAAAATTAATGCCTTCATAGCTCAGAATATAATATTATAAATAAAATATGTATTTAATTAAATTATATAAAATTATCAGCTATATATATAATGTTATTATAAATTCAAAATTTATTTATAACATTGAATGTTAATATGTAACTATCACATCAACATTAAATTTCAAAACAATGACTAGGAAAAAAGTTATTGATGCTAACAAACTCGGTAGAACCACGCGATAATTTTATATGAATCATATATCATCATAACTTAAATCAATATTAAATTCCATAAGTTTCATGTGATATAATATAATATAATATTATTTTACTAAAGTCTACGGTGGAAGCGATAACGACCATAGTTTTAACCGTTTCGACGCGGTACTAACCAAATTACGGGCGCGACGTTAATGTTATGAAAGCTGTAGCCACCGTCGTGGCCGCGGTCAATCCAATTCACCGGCACCGTGGACAGCGTCTCATAGGAGTTCACGTCCATTTCTTTCAGACGGTCGCACACCGTTAATCCGTCAGCCACTTCGGATTCACCGCCACTGGATTCTGGTTGAACGATGCAGTGCAGCAAAATCACCTTCAATCACAACACAACGATCTATTAATAGTCATAAATTCTAATTTTTTTGAAAACCATGACGAGTAATATCGTTTTATTAGTTTATTTATATTTTTTATAATATTGTGTTACATTTTAAGAAGATCTTGTACGTTTAATATACTTTAACGAGATGCTTGTGTTAGGTAGAGCATAGAATGTCAGTGTTCGAAAAAGTGAAATTTGAAACGGCAATCATGTAGGAACGATAATATTTCAAAAACATAATATATTAATAAAAAGTTATATCTTGGAAAAACCCAAAATAGATAAATTTATGATATTCGAGAAGTATATGAGTAGGTATGCGAAAGTCACAATTCGGAACGGCACAGATTAAAGAAACTAAATTCCCCTATACTACAATTAATGATCATTTACTTTCACTAAAGAACAATTTTTAGTACAAATTCATATCTACATGTATAAGTTGGTTTCCGCTGAACATTTTTAATATTAATATTTAAGGTTTAAAAATTTAATAGAAGTTTTTATAAAAGTTTTGTTTCTGGAATTATTAAAAAAAATTGAGTGTAATCGCACAAATCCACAAATACATTTTACGAGCGTCTGAAGTTTAAATTTTGACTTACTTTGATATTCATGCGTAAAATTACGATTTTAGTTTTTTTAAATGTAATTTGAAGAGTATCAATCATAGAAACTTAAAAGACACCTCTGTTAATTAAATTATCAATGAAAGTCAAAAATATAAAAATAATTTTTAGCTATTTATAGGTAGGTTTTTTTTTTAATAAATTGATAAAAATGATTTCGTTTGGTCAAAAAGTTTATAAATTTTATATATGGTTAAGTTTTTATAAATTATTATTAAAACTATTTTAGTTAGATATTTAAAAATATTAAAAATAAATAAGTGTGTTTTCTTATAAATGTTTGAAGATCAAATTTTAGCAAAAGTCGTTAAAATCATGAAAATTTGCAAATTATTTTTTAGTAAAAACTATAGAATATTCAAATTTTGTAGTTATAGCTTTAAATAAAAAGTATATGAGCATGGTTTTTTATAAAATATAAAAACTTGTTTAAAAACAAATAATAATTTATTTCTAGTATCACTTACTCATTTCATAAAATATGGCAATATTATTTTCAAAATATTTTGAGTTTTGAAATAAATATACGAAGTTAAAAGTATAATATTTTAATTATTTTAATATATTGAAACCAAATTTGTACTATTTATTATATTTTTATTATTACTAATTAATAACTTCATCTTCAAAAACTCAAAAACAAACATTTAATATGCTATTCTGTATTCAATTTCGTTCGTGTTATAAAATATTACAAAAAAAAAAGAAATAATAAATTGTTGTTTTTATTACAAATGTATATGAAACTAAAACAGTATGTTGAAAAAATAAAAAATAAATTTGTTTGGTTTTATTAATTTTAAGCGAAATAAACACATAAAATAGTAAGTTATTGTTAATATCTTCTTTGAATTTTTTTTATAACCGCATTTTTACGATATGTGTGTTTTTATGTTTTTATATTTTTATTATTTTTTAGTTGTCATTAATTATTATTCTTCAAGATTAAGTTGAAGTTAACTTTAAATTGGTAATTTTAGATTTTGAGTAGATCGAATAATGTTTCAGATTTTTGTTCATGCTGTTATTTTTTCTAGTTACAATCTGTAGCTCTTAATTAGGATTATAGTTGTTATAGGTATAGTTCATAGTTAAATTTCAAACTCTAAGTTGCATGTTAATATGACTAAAGCACAATATTTAATATTATTTTTTTTATATACAAATATTTATTATACACCATTAAATTAAAAGCATTAACCAAAAGCATTATTAATTTAATAGATTTTCAATATTGATCAATTTTAGAAAATTGAGTTTTATTCGTATAATTTTATAGGACATAAATATACGAGTATATATATATATATATATATATATATATATATATATTGAAATTGTACATTGAATTTTTATTTAGTATTTTAAAAAAAAAAATATTATATAAATAATCAAATAAAAATTACCCCGGGTGTGTATTCATAATATGGCAAGTCCGTATGTAGTTGTAAGTATGTCGATCTATACGCTAAATTAGTCGCATCAGAGTTCACTTCAACTTTAAACGTTTCCCTGGAAAAAGCACAGAAATCCAAAACAATGTATTAGTTTTCTTAGAATTCGTTTATTTATTTTTTTCTCCTTAAATTGTATAGAAACTTAATAGAATTTCATCACGACGTGCGCGCACACTGTTCGCCAATAATGTTTATTCTGACGTATATATAGCTATACTTAGTAGTATCATGACATTTCTGTAATTTATGCATTCTTATTAACTACACTTCATAGTTATCGTCCAATAACGCGATGTCACCGTTTTTCAAATATACGTTTGTATACGAAACACGGAATAACGTAGGTATCGTATAATATTTAACATATTATTCGTATTATTATTACGGTTATACTGCGTTTAGTTCGCTAGTTCGCAGTAGAATGACTCAATCATATCTAAGTTACATTAAAAATATATTATAATACCTTATAATATGTACACTGTCATTATTTAAAATTATGTCATTCATTGTAAAATGTTATATTATATATTTGATTTATGCTGTTGAAGTTACATCTGCCCCATTAAAAGTCATAAAGTTTGTAAGAGAGTTAAAAAATATGATGAAATAAACAAAAATATATCAGAGGTAGCCATTAATACATTTACTAACTATTCTTACTATATTTATCCAAAGAGTGTGCTGCATTTGCTTTATTCGATGAAAGTATAAATGTTAACACATATAAGTAATGATGGCAAAGAATACGAATGAGAAAATTAATATCGATGAGTTTGAAATTCATGCAAAAAAATTGAACTTAAAAATTTGTGAAATAGCAACATTTTTAAGCAAATCAGATAAATAAATTTTAATGTCACTATTAAGTCAAAAATCGACAAATATATTTCAGCATTTTAAAATTGAAAACTTTTTACATATTCATCCGATAGAATGGTTGAACTCGAGTGCTTATCAGAAAGGAAAAACTATCATTGAACAACTAAATGTTGTTAAAGATTCAGCTGAAAGAGGAGTAAAACTTGTAGATGATTTTAACAATAGTATTACGACAGACGAAACTCAAAAACAATTTTTATTACAAGTGAGTAATATTTAAATTTTTCAAAAATATAATACTGTACTTCAAAATTAACCAAGTTTTTGTTTTTTTTTTTCAAACGGTCAAGAACTATAGATTTAAATATATTGAAACAATAAAAAAGCTTTAAACACTTTTTGAATATTTAAATACAAAGCCAAAAATATTTATATCAATTTTTTTTTGTTCTTAAAAATGAACTTTTCTTCTGTAATAAGACTATTAGTATACTTCTTTTTCATATTATTAAATTTTTTTTTTTTACAGTATAATTAATTATTTTTATATGTTTATTCAATTTATCCAAAAAGAGTTATCTAAACGAAACATTTTATAGACTATAGTTACATATTTTTTAGTAAATATAAATAATATAAACTTTAGTAATTATTTACGATTTTGTTGTACCTTTAATATTTAAAGAGATAATTGCAAAAGCCATAAAAATAGGGATTTTTCACAAAAAGTTACTTTCATCCGGGTTTTTTAGTTTCTACAAGAAAATATTGACTGTGTGAAAAATTTATAAAAATATTTTATTTAGTAAATAATAATAAGTTCTATAAAAAAGTTTTCGATGTATTTTCAAAAAAATCAAAACTCTCGTGATAAAAAACTACAAATGTTGACATTTTCTTAAAACTTTGAGCTTTGAGAGCGCCCTGTTTATCATGTTATATAAAGCTCAAATTTTGTAGATCTTATTTTTAGACCCATAGAAAAAAACTCTCAGATGGACTTATCAAATTTTGATGAAAAAAAAATCGTTTATATATAAATAATGGGCACTCTAATGTACAGTGTCACCCACCTACCCAACCAACGTTTACGATTTCCCGGTATGTAGGTACCTATACGACTCGGTTTGTGTACATAAAATAATACGTATTTTACAAATAATCTTATACACGATGTTATAGGTGTATTTTCCGTAATATTGGTTGTATCATAGTTATTAATTGGCATACAGTGCGTATTATAATTTATAATAGTATATACGCGTGAATGCGTGATTGGATTGCCGCAGTATCAAAGTAGAAACTTTTCACTCGTGGCGTCCATTTAAAGCGTATTGTGTACACCGCGGTCTTGTTATTTACCGTCGCGATGTGATGCATCCTTTACTAGCTCTTTGAAAACAACGGTATAAATATGTCAATTGTTTCGCAATAACAATAACCGACACGCGCACACCATAATTAATACACGCTATTTACCTACGTTCCGGATCCGACGATTTATTTGCAGCAGACGCCACTCAACACCTTACTGTCTGCGTTGTGTCTAGTGTACGCGACTTTGATGAGTTGATAAATAACATGATTTAGAAACCAAGAGCTTAAATAATCGTGCGTTGTTTAACTGTATGTTATCCGATTGAGATTTCAATAAACAAACTAAAAATGTTTTATTTTGTTATAATAATTATAAAAATACTTATTTACCAATGTTTTTCCGGTTATACCTTTATTTTTGGAGATTCTACCTAAACCATAAAACGATTTTTTCATTTTCTATTTTTTGAAATTCAACTTGAAAAACTTGAAAAATTAGATTTTTAAATCTCGAATGTTCAGAACTTTAAAACGTTTATTATTTTGTAGTAAAAAAATCAACTAAAAATATAAAGTACATTTCATAAGGAAATAATGATAAAAAAATATTGTACTGCATAAGTGGGCTAATTAATATAATATAAAAAAAAAAATTGATATTTTACGCAAAAAAACAAAATACACGTGTAGTTGACATGTATGTGTGTGTCCGTGGGTGAGTGCTAGGTTTTTACACTATTACCATACACACACACTCATATATATATATACTATTTTACATTAATGATCGCTTACTACGGTCATACACGTATAATATACGACATGCTCTAATGCACTCACTTAAAAAGGCACACAATTGCCCATATTAAACTCTTTGAAAACGATCAATATGATCCCTATTTTGTAATGCAAACATACTAATCGCAGGTTTTTAAATTTAAACCAGACTCCTGCAAGTATTTAAACCAATATTAATCTTTTATTAATTATATTCCGTTGTATGTATTTATTTATTTTAAATTTATGTCACCGTACAATATCATATTAGTGAATATTAGAACGTATTTTTTAATTTAATGATGTGTTATATTAATTGAGTTCTATACCAGAATGGGTTGATGTTAATAATAATAATAATATACTAATTGAGTGTGCACTTGATAAATGAAAAATACGAATATCAACTGTATATATAATACCTGTGGTACTTTATTATCGTTTTCATGAAATTCGTCGCTAACAATTAAAATATAAGATATCTTATAAAAATTAAACAATGAATACATTTATTATATTCAAGACAAATAACAAGATTTTAACATCATATACAAAGTTTATCACATAAGTTTGAACCATGCATGATGACCTTCATATCCTTACAAAAGCTGCATGCAGCTACTGCATATTGTTTACGTCAATACTCCAAAATGGAATACCATTCGAAAACTTTCATCGCTTAACTTAATTCCATTGCATTTCTAGGTAATTCAACCAGACGCGTGAAACACAAATGGTCTAGAGACTTTCTCAATGCATATCATATTTAACATGTTTATTATTATTTCTTCTTAAAATTATCATTCATATTCAAGCGTTTCTAATGTGAAACTTTATATAAATGTTTTATATTTTCACCGCCTAATGCTGTATTTAACACATTATTTTACTGTATTTATTTGTATAAATTGTTAATTCTTAAAAAAAAATTTTAATTATACTTTTTTTTTTTATTAAAAGAATATTTACAATATGTATACATCATTACAATAAAAAAATTATGAAGGGCTTAAAAATAAAATAAAATACATGTAGACTTGATAGAAGTAGGCGTCCAGTGACACCACTTCAAAATTAATTATACTTTTAGAATTTTTTATTACTAAATGGAATCAACAAATATTATATTTAAATTTTACGGGATTTAATGTGTATTTAAGATAACTCGGGAGTCAATTTTTCTTCTTTTTTACATGTTTTATTGGGACTTACTTCATACATAATAATTATTATTGTATATTATTTAAGCTGCTATCATCCATAATGAACTGTAATATACCTGATACTTTTATATTTGTTTACGATTATATACTTCGATCTTAGATTTAAAAAAGATTTCTGGTATTAAAATAATTTTAGTGGGTAATTTATCATTTTGTTTTTGATAGAAAGAGAGTTTAAAAGTAAAGATTTCTATGCATTTTCAAAAACAATAAGCAAATAGAAAAAAACCAAGGGAAAAATAAAAATTAAAAAGAAAACCAATTTTTTTTTTTTATTAAATTAATTATGTTACCTAATCCACTAAGTAATTTTACAATATTAATTATAAATTATAAAATTTTTGTTTTTTATTTGTTGTAATTTAAAAACGAACAACTATATAACTATGTAGATAAATTTTGTGACGAAAATATTCATATTAGTATGAAATAGATAAAAAATTATAATTTATAAAATATTTTGTTTTGTTTTTGTTCTATTTGTAAATAACTTAATTTTTTTTCAGTTTTTATTTTTTGGATTTATAAGCTATACAAATTTTATTTGTCAGTAAAAAAACATTAAAATATTATATAAGATTTTTCCATGATTTTTTTTTCTGGACATTTAAAAAAAAGTTTGGGAAAAATCCTTATTAATGTTTTATTAAAAATTCAAATTTAAATTTTGATGACATTGAATATTAAAACTCTGTTTTGTTATTATTTAAAAATTATTGATCGTAAAAACTTGAAAGTTTCAATACTACAAATATCGGCTTGACTAATTTCACAATAATAAAATAAAATTGCATACTTCTTTATTGTTGCTAACTCCATTTCATTATTTAATTTATTATACCATCTTGACTATTATCATAATTTACGGCACCTGCAGAGTTTTCGAATTTATCAATTTGTTTTCAAACTTAAGTTT